GGACCAGCCGACAGTCCTGTCATGTAGTCCATCGTGACGTTTGGCTAGGGTCTCTCTTGGCGGATCCAACGGCTGTAGGAGTCTGGCTGCTCGCTGATGGGATGATTTCATGATCTGGCAGACAGTGCAGGAGGACACGTACTTGCGCACGTCGTCGGCCATGTTCGGCCAGTAATAATTACGCTGCAACGTCTTCATGGTTTTGTCGACTCCAAAATGCCCAGAGGTAGGGTTGTCGTGAGATTCCTGGGTTAGGAGGGTACGAAGCAAATCGTAGCCGGGAACTCAGATGCGGGAAGTGTCGCACTTATTAAAATAGTGTCCAGTAGCTGTGGTATGCTGTTGATGAATAGTGAAGCGGAAGAAGGGGTCGATTTTGTAGCCATGGGTAAGTAGTCCGGTAAGCAATGGGCTAGTCTGGGCGACTAGTATGGTAGCTGTATGGGTAGTGGGTTGGGTCAAGGCATTAGCAAGGTTGTTGGTGCCCCGTTTGTAGGTGATGGTGTAGTGGAAGTTTGACTCGAGGAAATCGAGCCATCGGATTTGTCGCGGGTTGAGGTTTGGTTGGGCGCGCAGGTACTAGAGGGATTTGTGGTTGGTCTGCATCGTGACGTCAGCACCTGTCAGGTAGCACCGCCAGGTCTTGAACGTGTGGACGATCGCCAACATTTCCTTGTCGTGGACCGTATAGCTTTTTTCCGTGCCCTGCAGCTTCTGTGATTCGTAGGCGACCGGCTGTAATCCGTCACAAAAGTCCTGCAGGAGAAATGCGCCGATGGCGATATCGCTGGCGTCAGTGATGACTTCGTATGGACCGTCGGGATCGGAGATGCGAAGGATGGGCGGCAACGTGAGGGCGATCTTGAGTTGGTGAAATGCAGCTTGCTGCTTCTCTTTCCACTAAAAACAATCGTGATCCTTGAGTCGGTCAGTTAGCGGGGCAGATAACCTAGCCATATTAGGGATGAATCGGCAGACGTAGTTGACGAATCCCAAAAACTCTGCAGCTCCTTGATGTTGCTTGGCGGCTTCCATTCTTGAACTGTCTTGATTTTCTTGGGGTCGATTTTCACTCCTTCGGTAGAGACGATGTGGCCCAGAAATTCCAACTCTTGCTTAAGAAAGTCGCACTTAGACCTTTTGGTGATGAGGCATCAAGTTCCTGTGCAGTAGCGTGAAGGCTGCATCAAGTTTCTGTTAGTGCTGCTCGCTGCTGCGGCTGTAGATGAGTATATCGTCGAGGTAGATGATGACGCATTTGTCCAAGAGTTCCCTGAAAATTCCATTCATGGTCCTCTGGAAGGTCGAGGGCGCGTTCGTGAGGCCAAAAGGCATCACCAGGTACTCGTAGCTGCCGTAGTGAGTTCGGAATTCCGTTTTGTGACAATCTTCAGCGTCGACGCGAATCTGATGGTAACCTCCTCGTAAGTTGATTTTCAAGAAAAACTTAGCGCCGCGAAGTTGGTCGAAAAGTTCGTCGGCTCTTGGGATCGGGGAACACGACTTGATGGTGATCCAGTTGAGCGCGCGGTAGTCGATACACATTCTGAATCCTCCATCCTTCTTCGGCGTGAATAGTATCGGGGCGGCGTATGGGGACGTGCTGGGCCGAATAAAACCTTTCGTTGGAAGATAATCCAGCTGCTGCTGTAATTCCTCCGGTTCCGGTTGGCTGAGCCGAAATTGTCGCTGTACCGTCGGTTGGGCGCATGGTTCCAGCTCGATGCAATTGTTCTCAGGTCGGCTCAGTGAGAGTCCAGCTGGCAGGTCGTCCGGGAAAATCTCTGGGTATTTCCGAATCAGGTCCGATAAGTCAGGAAGGACGGTCGTGCACAGCTTCTCGATGTCTTCGATTTCGACCGTCGATGTCACCTCGCAAAGATCAATGGCATACGCTGCAGCTCCAACTTTCATCACGCATTTGAAAGTGATCGCATGGACTTGGGTGCTTCGCATGCAAGGCCCCGTCCACTTGGGTAGCTTGCGGGAAATTCCATCGAGCTTGATGCTGCAGCCGCCCGTCGTCCAGTCAATCTTCAGGTTGTACCGTCGCAACCAACCGCGTCCCAGCAGCACGTCGCACCCGTCGAGAGTAGTCGCCAGCACGTCGTTCCCGTATTGCTAGCGGTGTTCCATCCACTAGTCGGGCGTCGATTTCGGGTAGACACTTGAGCAAGGGTATACCCAATTTCTTAGCCCTGTCCAGTTGTATGAGACTGTGACTCGCGCCTCCATCAATGAAAATCTTCAATACCACTTCGTTGATTTACCCTCCACCAACACAGGGTGATCAGCAGTTTTGTCCCCCTTATTCGTCTGGGTCCGGTCGATTGCAGCAATCGGGATCACGATCCGATGGGGACTGTGTGGCTCGGGCAAAGAAGCCTGCCCGTCAGTAAGGGGCCCGGTACTTACTAACGTGACCCATTTCCCGGTCGCTCCCCCGGCTTCTTCCCCATAGAATTATGGAGGGCTATGAATTCTTGGCAGTTGCGTCGGATGTGACCGGGTTGGCCACAGTGGTAGCATAGCCCCGTATTTCGCGGAGCAACTGCACAAATGTCCACTACATCCACCCCTTTTATCATGGCGTGCTGGTACTGTTCTCGAGGGCGACCTCCATTGTAGAAGTTCGTCCTCGACTTCATGAGCGAATCAGCAGCTTCGACGAGCTGGATGTAGTCTTGTAACTGCTTCGCAGGGCGTTGCAGTTTTATCTGGTACTGTATTTCGGGCTTCAAGCCGCCCATGTACCTGTCGACCTTCTCCAACTCGTACATGTAGCCACATCTGTCCACCAACGTCAAGAATGACGCGGTGTACTCGGACATAGATCCCAGCTGCTTCCACATGCGTAGAGTTTCGCGTGCTTTATCTGAGTCACGAGCATGCTCAAACCGCTTGCAAAGCTCTGCGCACCACGTTGCCCACGTGCGAATGTGGGTCGCTCCGAACAACAGATCTGCCTCATCTTCGTCGTCGAATTCTTCGGACCACTCGTGCTGTCTTTCTGTGTGAGTTGCTGCTGAGTCGACGATGACCTTCCACCACTGTAGGGCGGCCCCTTGCAACAGTGTTAACGCGTGGCTGATCCGCTTCTGACCGTCTCGGATGCCTGCCGTGTTAAAATAGATATTCATGGCGAATATCCACTGCCGCACCGTCACGCATTTAGTAACTGGGTCGAAAGGAGCGGGGTGCTGATATCTTACGCCGCCACTTGTCGAGCGCGGGGCTGTTGCCGCTAGTCGTGTCAGCTCCACTGGCGACGGTTGCTGCTCACCCGCCTCGCTTCGTACATAGTCGTCCGGCTCCTCTGTACGCCATTCCTGTGCTTGGCGAAGTCGCTGGTTCTCGTCGCGGAGGTCGTTGATGATGCTTGTCAAATTATTCAACTACTCCATTATTACTTGCAGGTCCACAGTTTCTTGGGCAGGGTTCGCAGCGGTCGAGGTGGACTGTCCCTCAACCGTCGAGGCTACCGTGGCCATGGCGGTCAGGATGGGGCAGAAGCTAGCGCACACACTGTACTTGTTGACGTAAAAATATTTACGATCCAAGACAACTGCTGTGCAGCCGTGCTAATCCCATCTGACCACCTTTTAACTAAATAAACGGGAAAACGGAAGGTTCGTGGAGCGCTTAGGCTCTGGTACCTGCTGTTATGATGTAGGAAGTGTCAATGAGATATAACGTCAGAATACAAGGTCGCTATTGCAATGAAGGCACGAGGTTATATAGGGGTTAGCGTGCTAGGGCGATAACATTGGAACGTGGGTAGGTTGGGCAATGTGGCGACAGTGCAGGACGCGACCCGGGAAAGGGTTGGGCCGACAAATGAGGCCGAACATGACGAGTTGAGGAGTTCGGGTGTACGCGCTAGCGTACGACTCAGTAAGGGATGGAAAATTCCTTAGGGCGAATTCCTACAAAGTAGGATCAGAATCAGAAACGCGAAATTCATTCTTGATCCCGTTGCCCGGTCTTCAACGCTAAGATCAGAAACGATGGTGCTACCACAGCGTCGCACAGGGGCCTCCGATTGGCTGTCCCTACAAACACATTAGGGACAGCACCCAACGAGCGCTAATCAAGCGCCGCGTGGCATAAGCGCGCCGATGCGCGACGTGCAACGAAGCGGAACTGTAAAAAGCAGAAAACCTACATACGGCACGCGACGGGCACAAAAACGAATTTCGCTTGTGTTTTTGCTGGAGCACACGTTTCCCACCAGTCTGGTTATGCGTGGCGAGGAGTTTGCAAGTGTAGTGTAAACTTGCGTGGTCAAGTCTGGGCAATCGAAGCGAATTCTGTGCTGAAAGTGAGGGCTGTACACGTAGGATCGTGCGAAGTATCCAGGTTCCCAAGCGAAATTCACTTGCGATCGCTTTACTGAATTGTTGATCCGTATGTAGTAAAACGGCAGGATCAGAAACATTCTTGATTCTGATCCTACTTCAAAGGAATTCGCCCTTAGAGAGATGCGCAACTCGGGTTGCCGCAGCTCAAAATATTTGCTGGCTTCACACCACTACGCGCGAAAGCAACAAATCGAAATGCGAAAATTGAATATCTACAAGAATCTGGTAGCGGACGTTTCGCGTTTTATTTCAGGCACTTCGCATTCTTCGAGAGCAACCGGATTTTCCAGATGAGTTGCGATTTCCACCCAAAAAGCACAATCCGAGGTACGGTACCAGTATCGGGTTGTGCTCGCCGCGACGGATATCGTAATTTTCGCTTCCCGAGTTGCGCAACTTGGCTCTGTTTGCCGAAGTATCACGCCCTTATGACAGCCTGTATAAAGAGGAAACGATATGTATATCGCCCAACATGTGGCTGACTGTGCCAGGTTTGGGCGATTCTACAGCAAATCGCAGACTCGAAGATTCGGGTGTATTTCTGTCGGATACGTTTTGATTTGGGTGTAGATATGTCGTTTCTTCCTGTATAAAACTGTGTTCATGGGAGACACATAGTTTCCCGCTCGCTTGCTGCAGGGCTTTTGATTTGTGAATCCGTCCATCTCTCCCTGCAGCCATCACTTTTGCTCTCATGTCCGCTCATCGTCGCGCCACCTCGCCGCCATGGCTGACGGATACGGCCCTCTCTCCATCGTCTTCTATGCCACGTCAGCTGTCGTCTCCGCCACGTCACCTCTCCGCCAGTTCATCTGGTCGGCGGTGCGCCTTCAGTGTTTCCTCGCTTCCGCCTGCCTTTCCGCCATCTGCGCGCTTCCCCTGCTCCCCTTCCGTCTGCTCTCCGCCGCCCTCCGCGAAAACAAGGTGCGCGCACGGGGGATGTGCGCAAAGGGTAGGTGAGCATGGGGGAGGTGCGGGATGGGGAAGGTACGTCTGGGCGGACTTCGCGAATGTGTGCGAGGCGTGGCGGGGAAGGTGTCGAAGGGGCCCCTTCGCTGTCCTCAGCGCGCTCGTCGTTTTCTCGCCGCCGCGTCGCTCGCCGATGGCCATTCGTGGCGGCGGGATCGGCGCGCAGGAAGTCGAACGAGCTTGCGACGTGAGCCGTTTGCGCTCGCCTTCCCCTCAACGCCGCCCCCCACGTCGCCTCCCCGCTCCATTTTCTTTCCGTCAGCTTTTCCGCCCGACCTTCCCTCGCCTAAGAGATCGACTCGTCAAGCGGTCGTCGCCGCAGTGCTGATCGCTCGTCGCCCGTGTCTGCGTGTCGCGCTTCTCTCGCACCCAACCCGATCGGACGGCCCCACGCCCATACGAGCAGTGCCCACTCTCGCTTCACCTGCTCCACCCCGCCGTTCCCCCGTGATCCCTTCCCCCGCGATCCCTTCTCCCGCGATCCCTTCCCCCGCGATCCCTTCTCCCGCGATCCCTTCCCCCGCGATCCCTTTCCCCGCGATCCCTTCCCCCGCGATCTACGTGCCACTCGAGCCTGGTCTTTCGCGCACTCCCCTCCAAGACGCGGCTCGCAGCGAGTCTTGCTGCTTCCAGATTGGCCGGCTTCCCTCTCACGTTCTCCCCGCCTCTCCTCTGCTCCCCCCACCCCCGCCCTCCCCCCTCTCCGCAGATGCGCGCGACGCTAGCGGAGGCGCAGGAGCAGGGCGGGTACTGGCGCGAGGCGGCGGCGGCGCTGCAGCAGCGCGCCAAGCGGGAGGAGGCGGCGCGCGAGGCGAGTGAGCGGGCGGCGCGGGAGGCGGAGGCGCGGCTGCGGAAGGTGCTGCTGCAGCGCGCGCAGCTCAAGGAGTGCCTGCAGCGCGCCGTGCGCCAGGTGGGGGGGGTGGATACGAGGGGTGGGTGATGCGGGGGATGCGGGAAGTTGGTGGCGCAGGGGGCTCCGCTGAAGGAATGGCCGTGAGTGCGTTGTGTGGGGAAGGAACGGCCGTGAGTGCGTTGTGTGGGGAAGGGAAGGGAGGGGAGGTGGAAGGTTGATGAGTGGGTTGGAGGGAGAGCATGAGGGGTGTGTCAATGGGGGGGGTTCTTCCGGGCAGCGAACGAAAGCCTTTTTTCGCTTTTCCGTTGTTCACCCCTCGTCCGTCTCCATCTGGTCGACAATCCTTTGAGTTTTCTTTCTCTCTGCTCTCATTCTTCCCAAATGTCCTCCTTTCCCTCGTCTTGTTTCCATCTGTCGCTCCCCTCCGTGCCTCACTGCCATCCCTCCCCCCGTCAGCTGGGTGACGAGGCGGTGGCCCGCCAGCAGGCGGTGAAGGGTCTCTCGAGGGAGCGCCACCGCTGCGCGCGCCTCCACGCTGACCTCACAGCTTCGCACGCGCGCTGCGAGCACCTGCAGGCCGACCTCGCCGCTGCCAGCCTGGCGCTTGGGCGGCTGAGGGAAGAGCTGGCGGCGGCGACTCAGCAACTGACGGCGTGCCAGGTGGCAGCAGAGGAGGCGGCGGCAGAGGAGGAGAGGAGTGGGGCGAGGGGCGAGAGGGAGGAGGCGTGGGGTGGTGGGGAAGGGGGTGGGGGGGGTGTGAGGAGGGGCAGGGAGGGCAGGGGGCAGAGGGAGAGGCGCAGTGGAGGATGGCGCGGGCAGGGGCGGGTGGGTGAAGCGAAAGCGACTGGTGGTGGGAGGGAGGAGGCGTGGCGGGGGGATGAGCTTGAGGGCAGCGAGGGCGCTGCCACTGCCACCACTGCCTCCTCCTCCCCTGCCCTCGCCGCACCACCTCATCCCCACTCGCACCCTCCCGCCCCACCTCTCCACCCCGCTCCTTCCCCCATGGAGCCCCTCCTGTGGCGCTCAGCCCTCAAGGCGTGTGCCTTCGCACTGTTGCTCTCCGCCCTGCTCGCCCTGTTGGCCTGGCTGCTGCCGCACCGCTGCCCGCCCGCCCTGCTCACGGCGCTCGCCCTCACGGCCCTCGCGGGGCTCCTCACCGCCCTCGCCCTCGCGCTCGCCATGCCCTCGCTCCGCCCGTCTGTCGCGCCCGCCCTCTCCCCGGTGCGCGTGGCGGCAGCGGCAGCAGCAGTGCCTCTCCTGTGCGCCTGCTGGTTCGCCCTGGGCGTGCTCGTGCACTCGCTGCCGCCCTGGCATGCTGCCACTCATGCGCTCTATTCTCACACCCCCGGCTCACTAGAGCGCGCTGTTTCGAGTTTCTGGCTCGCTCTGAACAGCACTATGGCGTAGGATGCATCAGGATAGGGATGTAGGTAATAACGGTGTTAGGGAGAGTGCCACATGACACAGCCATGCCACCCTTGACCCACCGACTGTTCGTTTGGCTGCCCTCTGCTGCTGCTCTGTGGCACTGCGGCACTGCCTCTGTAGCACTCAGCACTCCTTGTACATACGGTAGGCTCGCCTTGTCATGTGCTTCAGGGTACGTTCTGGGCTCAGGGCAAGCCCCGAGGCAGGGCTTCCGGGCATCAGTTGTACCTTAATCCCCTGTGTATAACACCCGATGGTGGATATTAATATTCACTAAAAAATGAGTGGGTGCAGGCCCCACGATATAATTGATACTTCTGTAAGTCGATCAGGTGTAGTTAGTGTCGAATCCTACCGTAGAACATAAGTCCGTAGGATGACGTCAGCAAATAGCGCTCGTCATGGGGACAGTCGTTTCAGTCACGCGAACAGTCGCACCTCTTCGTTAACATCTAGGGCGCATAGCGCGATAGTGACGAACAGGTACATTAGCGAATAGGTATTTTTCCTAGAACTATAAATTCTTCTTAGACCTTTCCATTATTAACTTTGATTACTCACAAGTTCACGTACTCAGGTTATTAAACCTTGACCTCTACATTTTACAAGACTTCCGCTGTCTTACTATTCTACCATTCCAGTAAAGATCCTGGACCAACACTTGAGGATTTTCCAAGTGTTCGTGTTTGTAGTTTTATACTTAGTCTACTACAACACCAGACGATTTATTTCATGCTATGAGAGCTATCTGGAATTAAGACTACCGTCAACTATGACTGGTTCATCACCAGCACCATCTGCCGGATCAGTTACCGGAACTACTGGAGTACATGTCTCCACTACTGCCGCTGGTCTCTCAGCCTCTGGGCCATTCCCACCAGCCTATGCTAATATCGGTATGCAACAGCAGAATCCACCTTCTGTCAATACTCCAGGTGCTCCATCGACTGCACCTGCAGCGCAACAACAACAATCACAGACAACAGCACAGCAACAAGCATCAGTACAGCCACCAGTATCAACGCAATCAATTTCATCTACGTTCAGTGGAATGAGCCTTGACGGCTCAAGTTACATGCGAGGAGCCACAGCTCCAAGTACTGGTTCGTTCGCTTTCTCACCTTTCGTACAGCAGCCGCAGTCGCAGCAGTTTCAGCATCCTTTTTATATCTTCGGTCGTTCCCCTGCTCAGCAACAGCAGCAACAACAACAGCAATATCAGCAACAGCAACAACAGCAGTAGCAACAGCAGCAACAACAGCAACAACCAGGCATTGTTTTTCAGCCTCCAAATTTACTTAACAATACACAGATCAAGACAACCATACCTTTTAATGGTGTTGACTTTTACTCCTGGAGCTTTGAGTTTGAGCTTCTGGCGCAGTCCGCTGGGCTATGGCCTTTCTTCACTGGCGAGTTTACGTATCCTATCATGGGAACACAACTGGAGCAGCAGAGTTTCTTGCACGCCTCTCTCGGGGCATATACAGTTCTTGTTCGAAACTTGTCGCCGAAGGAGCAACTCGGCGTTCGATAATTTCACTCAAGTTTTACACCAGCCGAAACTGCATGGAACCATCTGAAAGGGGTATACATGGCAAAGGATACGATAACAGTGAGTAAAATACTTTTGCAGCTGACAAGTGTGCAGATGATGACAAACGAAAATGTCATGGACTACGTTAACCGTGTCCGTACACTACGAGATCAACTGGAAAAGAGCGGAGGATACTTCCCTCGTGAGATGTATCTCACAGTCCTTCTTGCTGGTCTTGGACCCGAATGGCGACAGACGCGCGCCTTCCTGCGCATGAACTCCAACCTCTCCGAAGCCGGAATTTCTTCTTATCTTCAAGCAGAGCAGCAAGATCTTGACCTGCAGTCACAACGCAATCAGAAAAAGGGACTACACTTGAGTTTTTACTCCAATCCAGAAACACAGCATCGATATCCACCAAAGTATCCATTCTGCCATTTCTGTAAGAAACCAGGACATACTTACCAAAACTGTCGCAGCCGTCATCAAAATCGTCGCAGCACTTCACAGCCGTATCACCGGTCGCAGCAGTTATCGAAGACACAACAACCACAGCAGCAGTTAACGTCTCAGCAGCAGCAGATGCCGAAACCGCCGCAGAATCCGTTGACGTCTCAGCATCGCCCGCCGGTCTTCGCATCTGCCACATCAGGAAAAGGAGTTTTCGGATGTGTTACAACAGTTGATGTTTCAGAAACAGATTTCGAGACACGACTTGAAGAAACCACAAGTGCTGAAGGCATTCCTTTACCTCAAGTTTATGCTAACCTTGCTTGAATAATTTCAGGTCCGAATACTTGGTATCTCGACAGCTGCTGCGGTTGGTACATGTGTTCCGCAGAAACAAGCTTCATTACCAATCAGCGTCCACTTCGTCGTCCAATACCTGTAACAGTCGCAAACGGACAAACCATTATGGCACAAGCAGTTGGGAGTGTCATGCTCGAATCTATCGACACGGGATACTCACTACATGTTACCAATGTTCTTATTGTCGCTGGCCTTGGGTTCAATCTTCTTTCCACGGCTCAGCTTCTGGCACACAAGATCCGCACACAGGGCAATTGTGAGACGATGGATCAGGAGCTCTGGCACAGTTCAACGAATACTTACCTTGGTCGTGCCGCCATTCAACATGGCGTGTCCGTTCTTCAGTTCGCATCACAGGGAACTTCTGGTGATTCTGAACGCGTCCTCGCACTCGGTCCCTGGGATCACCCAGAAGAAACAGATTATCAACACGTGGATATTGATTTTCGAGCAACTACTGTACCAACGACTTCTCGAACTGCAGCCGCCGTACTTGCCGCGTTGGATACCTGGGAGTTCAATACCGCCGATGAAAGCGCCACCGCGTGGCGAACGTTTTATAATACCCGTGCAGCCTTCCAAGGAACTCCAGCACCACTTTGGGGGGAAATAAGTGGGCTTGCAGCTGATGAACCTGGCGTCGTTGAAGAAGCCGAAAAGGAAAAGGTCGCTGAGCAGCCGTCTTCAACAGTAGCTGTCGCCGAAACGCCTGCCACAACATCAACAGAAGCACTATCAGAAGTTGCAATAACAACCGTAGCGACACCTTCACATGTCAAGTTACCACTTACACGTTTCGTCGAAGGAGAGATTGACAAGTCACCAGCGCTATCTCCTTTCATTATTTCTTCTTTTTATACTAAACTACGATTTCTACCTGCGATCATCAGGACACAAAGCACCAGAAGATATATGGCATCAACGGTTAGGACATCCATCGCAGGGGATTCTTAATCAGTTCTGTTACCTGATGGCACAGAGCTGAAGCCGCAGTCTCGACCGACGGTTTGCACAACGTGTTCGGTTGCCAACCTTACGCATGATCCATTTCCCAGTCATTTTCCTGGATCAACCCGTTATAATCTGATGCAGAAAGTCTACAGCGACATACTAAACTTACCTGAGGCAGGACCTAAAGACGAGAAGTACGTCATAACATTCATCGAAGCATCTACACGCTATGTCTGGACGGCAAACCTTCCTGCGCGCCATCTCGCTCACTCTGTCTTCGTCGCGTGGCTCGCTGTAGCTGAACGAGAGTCAGGCGTGAAACTGCAAGAATTTCAGAGTGATGGTGCAGGGGAGTACACCAGCAACACTTTCACAGAATACCTTCAAACACTCGGCATCAAATGGAAGCAGGCACTGCCGCATGCACATCAACAGATGGGGGTAGCAGAAAGGATGAACAGAACCCTGCAGGAGAAGATGCGTGCTCTGCTGACACAGGCAGCCCTTCCACCGCATTTTTGGCCGTATGCGATGGACCATGCCGTGCTGTTACACAATCTTCTTTCTTCAACGTCCCTGCCCGAGTTCTCTTCTCCGCACCTGCAGTGGACACGTACAGTGGGAAGCACAAAACTTTTACGAGTTTTCGGGTGTGTTGTACAGTTTCGTCCTCCAAATGCAGCCCTCGGCAAATTTTCCGAACGAGCAAAATGGGGGGTCCATCTCGGCATCGAAAAACAGTATCATGCGTGGAAGATTTTGGATCTCCGCTCCAACCAAATCGTCCCATCACGTGATTGTCTCTTCTATGAAAGACTCACCTTGCCCGTTTTTCGTGCCCACCAGTCAGCCGCTGCCAACCCCACCAGGCTGTTCGAAGGCTCGCGTGCGTTTGCAACTGACGAAGCCGAAGCTGATGTACAGGACGAGGATGTTTCTGAAGCTTTCGAAGCTGCTGCAACAGACATTCCCGAACCTGTCACTTCGACCGGCATACCTGAATTCATTCCTCTTGCCGATGCTGATCAGGATGATGTTCGCGAAGTTCACCTCGGTTACGAACGCGATCGCCAACAGCAGCCGATGCCCGTCGTCTCCGACGAAGCAGTTCGTGTTACACCTGACGAAATTGGGGGGGAAGAAGGACCAGAAGAAATTTTCGCAGGTGCAAACGAAGAACGTCCGCGTTTTACTGAAACAGGATGACAGATACTTGGATTTGCAGTCGCAGTACAGTGCAACAACAGTAAGATATCTGAACCGAAAACCGTTCGACAAGCTCTTACGAGTCCTCACCAAGAGAAATGGCGCAAAGCCATGGACAGAGAGCAAGCAGCTCTCAAAAGTCGCGGAACATGGGATTTAATACCGACTTCAGAAGTAAAAGGGAAGAAGGTACTTACCGGAAAATGGGTCTTCCGCGTCAAGACTAATGCAGATGGGTCGTTTGAGAAATTCAAGGCGCGATGGGTTGTCCGCGGATTCGAGCAGACGTACGGCATCGACTATGAACTAACTTTTGCTCCTGTCGGGTGACATACAAGCGTTCGGATTTTACTCTGTGTCGCCGCCTGCCGTGATCTCCGGCTTCGACAAATCGACGTATCAAATGCGTTTCTCTACGCGCCCGTCGACGCACTCATCCTGGTAGAGTACCCACATTCCTATGCTACTAACCCACCGAGCGTATGCCGTCTACGAAAATCCCTGTACGGCATTAAAAAGGCACCACGACTCTGGCAACAGTACCTACACTTGCAGCTGATCACTGCCGGATTTCGTCAGTTACCCCATGACCAGGGAATGTATCTACTGACCGATGGCAGCAACTATATTTTACTCGTCGCCTACGTCGACGACATCCTCTATGTCAGTACTACCGATTCTCTTGCCAATACCTTCGTACTGAAACTACAGAAAACTCTACAGCTTACAGTCTCTGAAACAGTCTCACAGTTTCTTGGTCTGAACATTACCTGTTCACCAACGACTATTCATCTCACCGCTTCGAAGTACGTGTTGGTTAGAGAAGGCTATAAGCAGATGATTCAATGGCTCCTTGGAAATTTCTGCAGCACTTCGTTATGACGCCCAGAAAACTCGCGACCTTCGAATAGCTATATCAAAAACTCCAATTGGTGAAACGATCTGAAAATCGGATATGTTGTAGCTGGCAGCGTCAGCTTTCCACTGAAAGTTGAATCACTGGATTCCGTAGCTGAACGAGTGAGCTTTGGCGTTTGGCGCACTGGGGGGTAATCTGCCCTAGGAGAAGTTGACAGTCCTCAGAGTCACTATGATTGAAGCTTACAAGATCAGAGGCATGATAGAAAAGGCATTGAAACACAGTTGGAAGGTGGGGTAGGAAGTGAAGGATGAAAGGGAAGGACCCTGGAGGCCCATGGTCAAGAACATGACAAGAGTCAAAGTTTTGACTCCCCATCCTCAGGTTCAGCCAGCCTGGCAAGACAAATTTCACACTGTGCCAGGTTGGCCTCCAAACCCCAAATGCTGCAGCTGCAAGGTGGGGACAAAAGTCCCACACATGCTGGTCCCTCCTCGTTATAGGGCTCTCCAACTTTGGTGTAGCAGCTGACAAGGACTTCCAATGAGTTGTAACAAATCCATCAAACATTTCTTCGTAACTTCTTCATATGTGCTCCGATTCCAACAATTCTTGGCTCGTTGGAATGTGCTCGATGTCATGCACAATCCAAGCACATCTGCACAAGCACAAGATGAACATGCAAAGACATGCAAACCCAACAAACCATACAAACAACGTAGCACACAAAACACATGCAAACGAAATGATGCGAACAGACGACAGGATGACGTGCAAATGAATATGCACCAACACACTCCCCCTCAGACTGTCGGCTTGTTTCGCCGTCTCTAGTTCAAGGACATTCCCGCCATCCTCGCACAGCGCCAGTGTGGCTCTTCAGCTAGCCGCTTGGTAAGGAAGTCGGCTGGCTGTTGCTGAGTTTTCACGTAGATCGGATCCAGTGTCCCAAGCTTCACCTCCTTCCGCAGCCAATGCCACATGATCCTCATGTGCTTGTTCAACCCATGAAGAACTGCATTGCGTGCCATGGCAATGGCTCCCTTGCTATCACTGAACAGAGGTGTCGCACAAGTCTGTTCATGGCCGATCTCCTTCAAGAGCCTCCTTAGCCAGATGATTTCTTTTGCCGCATGAAACATCGCCATGTACTCAGATTCCACTGAAGATAGTGCCGTCTCAGACTGCTTCTTGGACCTCCAACTTACAGGCCCACCTCCCACCATGCAGATGTATCCACCAACTGATGATGAATCCTCATGCTCAGAAGCCCACGTGGCATCAGCAAAACAGGAAAGGAACACCTTTCCTTCTCCGAGCTGCTCCCCCTTCTCTTTGAGGACTTCAATTCTTTTTTGACTGAGTTGAGCAGAGGCTGAATACTGTACTCCCACTGTAGGGTATGACTTGAGGTAGCGCACCACTCTCTTCGCTGCACCACACTGCTCTTCTGTTGGATTTTGCACTACTCGAGCCAGCTGTCCCACAGCAAAGCTGATGTCAGGCCGAGTATGCACAGCAGCGTAGAGTAGGTTCCCGACCATGGATTGGAATTGCCTCTGGTCTTCACTCTCAACTCCTTCTCCTTCAGCTGCCTTTATGAGTTTGAACTCGGAAGGCAAAGGTGTGACCACTTCCCGTTCTTCCTGCAGAGAGTACTTCTCAGCCAAGGTGTTGATGTACTGTCCCTGATGCAGTTTGAGCCAGCCACGTTCAGTATCCCGCTCAATATGCATTCCCAGGTAGTACCTTGCCTCTCTAAGTGACTTGCACTTGAACTGCTCTGTGAGCTTCCGCTGCACCCCATCGATCTCCTTGTCACTGCTGCTGAAGAGCAGGATGTCATCCACGTACACCAGCAGAAGCACAAGTGACTCCCCCTCTCCCATCAGGAACAGGCTCTCGTCGCATGCACTCGCACGGAATCCAATCCCTTCCAGTGCACTGGCCAGCCTGTTGTACCAGCATCTCGGGGCCTGCTTCAAGCCATAGATGGCCTTGTTAAGTTTGCAGACACGACCGGTTCCATCCTCATAGCCAGGTGGTTGAACCATGTACACCTCCTCTTCCACAATGCCGTACAGAAAAGCGGTTACGATGTCCATCTGCTTCACCTTCCATTTGCGCACAGCAGCTACCGCCAGCAGCACACGTAGCGTTGGAGACTTAGCAGTTGGGGCAAACACTTCTTTGTAATCTTCCTTCTCTTTCTGCTGAAACCCCTTTGCCACCAGCCTGCTCTTGTAAACTGATGGCTCTCCTTTCTCATCCGTCTTGATTTTTGCCAGCCACTTGCACTGTATTGCCTTCTTCCCATTTGGCAAGTACACCAGGTCCCATGTGTGATTCTCCATCTTGCTGTTGTACTCTGCATCTCTTGAAACGAGCCACTTCCCCCGTTGAGGCCCGGCTAGCGCATGATCCATGCTCGGAGGTTGTATTGGTGCGTAAAAGCAGTATGCAGGCTCCTTGTCATCTGACTCTTGGTCATCACCCAAGAACAGCACTGCATCTTCGCCTTGAGCCTGTTCCTGCTGCTCAGTTGTGGCTCCTCCACTTGTGGAGCTCAACAGCTTTCTCATTGCCATTCTGGTACGTGCAGGGTAGATGGTTGGATTTACCCATTCTTTCACCTTCACCCAATCCTTTGTCCCCCCACCAATCTGTTTCCTTCGCTTTGGCAGACTTGGTGTTTTGGAAGCCTCTTGCTGCTGCTGCTCCGGATCCTTGACTTCAGCATCAGCTGCAATATCCTCATTGCTTCCTTCATCAGTACCGCTTGCCGTTGGCGCAGTGACTTCGCTGTCCTCAGGTTCGGACAGATCGAAGTGCATAGTGATCTCTTCCAGCTGCTGGGTGACCCTTGCCTCCGGCTGCTTCTCCCACTTGCCATACATGATGTTCTCCACAAATTTGACATCCCGACTATCAAACAGCACATTCTTTGAGGGCTCCCAGAGTAGCCACCCCTTGCTCTCTGCCGCAAGCCCAAGGTGCACACACCAAAGTGCAGATGCTCCAAGCTTTGTCCTGTACGGTTTAGGGACATGCGCCACTGCCATGCATCCGAACACTCGAAGCATGTCCACTGGAGGCTTCTTTCCAAGCCACCTCTCCAGCGGCACCCACATATCATCAGCCACCTTTGTGAGTACGCGGTTCCTTGCCACTGTAGCATGCCTCACCGCATGAGGCCACATGGAGTTCCCCAGCCCTGATTCGATCAGCAGCGCTCGCGCAGTTTCCAGGATGGTCCTATTAGCCCTCTCAGCAACGCCATTTGACTGAGGGGTATAGGACGTCGTTAGCTGATGCTCAATGCCTTGTTTCTTGAGCCACGCAGTCAGATCTCCTCCTAGAAACTCTCCACCTCGGTCGGTTCTGATGCTCTTGCATGGGTGCCCAGATTGTCGCTCGACGAACGGCAGCCAATCATCTCGTATTGTTGAGGCAGCATGATCCTTCTGCTTCAACGGGTATGCCCACATCAGCCGACTCCAGTCATCAACTATTGTCAGGAAGTACCTTTCCCCCTTACTTCCTCGGACTGGAAAAGGTCCTACGAGGTCCATGTGCACCAGTTCCAGTGCTGCCTTGCTTTTCCCAGCTACGCCGTGAAAGGGGAACCGTGTGAACTTGCTCAGCAGACACGTCTCGCACTTGGTAGCATTTGGTTGCCCAGAAAGCTTGAGCCCCTTTACTGCTTCTTCCTTATGCAGTTGCTGCAGCAATGGCATAGCCACATGCCCTAGACGCCTGTGTGCGGTTTCCCAATCAGTCTCCCCCGACCTTGCAGAAACCGTCACTCCTGCAGCACTAACTGCATTACACTCCCCCTGGACTCCAGAACCCGCCTTTACTTCTCCCAACTCCTTCTTTGTTGATTCCCATATCAGTGCAGGGATCTGCCACATGGATCTGAAGACATCTCTGCTTTCGTGTAAATCCCATAACACACGATCTCCTCGCAGCCCCTTGAATGTTTTGGATCCATTGGTGGTGGTGCTGACTCCGGCCTGGCCTAGCTTGCGCAGCGATATCAGGTTGGCCTTCAGCCCCGGTACGAGTAACACATCCTTCAGCACAACCAGTCCACCATCAGGTGCTCTGAATGCAGCTCGACCAACTCCAGCGACCTTCACTGCATGTCCGGATGCTGAGCGCACTTCAGAGATTGGAGGCGCTCGCACAGCATCCAGCAAGTCCTTGCGTGGTGTCATTGTCCATGCAGCACCAGAGTCCATGACCCACATGTCAAGCGGGTGCAATTCCTCTCCAGCCCTTGCAACAGCTGTGCCACTGTCATCTTTGTCACACACATGGTAGAACTGTCCAGCATTCCTCTCCTCATTTCGCATTCCTCTGTCATCCTTGGAGGTTTCTTCAGCAGGATCAGCTACCATGTTGGCACCTCCATGTGGTTGTTTTCCTCCATTCCCCTTCTCCGATTGGTTCCAAGGGGTCCACCAGTCGGGCTTGGTAGGGCAGCGAAACCATGGATGCCCTTCTTCCTTGCAATACCAGCACTCTCCCCTCAAGCGTGGTTCACTGTTGTCATTGTTGGAGTGACCACCTCTTCCTCTTGCACCAGCGCCACCACGCCCCCGCTGGTTCCAAGTCCCGCGACCACCTTGGCTGTGGTAAGAGCGACCGCGATTGCCACGCCCTCGATCCCTCCATGTCCCTTGCATGGCATAGCCGCTGGTGCTGTCATCACCTCCGCGCAGTGTATAGCGACGAAAATCTTCTTCCAGAATCTTGGTGCGAATCCACTCCAATGTCCATTGACTTTGGTTTTGTGGCAAGCTGAGTCCGCTTATAAATTGCAGCCAAGACTCCGGCAGCAGGCTGAGCATCTTGAGACACTTTGTCTGCTCTGGGTACGTGATGCCTGCAATCGCCAATTTCGCGTAGAGTTCCCTCATCTTGTCCAGTACGGGCTGCACAGCTTCATTCTCGCTCAACCGCAGCATGGACAGCTCCCGATCCAGCATGAGAGAAGCGGCAACCGATGTCGGAGCGTGCAGGTCCTTGAGCACTGCCCATGCCTTGGGCCCACAATCAATTTCCGGTAGCAGATGCATGATGTGATGCCTCTGGTTCAGCTCCAAGCTTTGTGACAGTAGATAGTACCCAGCAGATGAACGTTCATCCCAGTCCGCTTGCTCTGCCATTTCCTTTGGCCTTGGCTCCGTTCCAATCATGAGCTTCAAGAGGCCAATTTGTCGAAAGTAGAGCTGCATCTTCCATGCCCAATCATCATAGCCATCTCCAGAGAACTTCTCAATGGTGAAGTTCTTCAGCACCTCCTTAAGCAGTGACCCCTGGCTTGTACGCGCTCCCCTTTGCGCTGCAATGCCAGAATCTTGGGTTGAGCTGCCTCCTTGGACTGAAGTATCACCTCCACCAGAGTCCTCTTTATCTCCCATCGTATTTTAGGTCCCAAATGCGTGATAATAGGCTCTGATACCACTTGTTGGTTAGAGAAGGCTATAAGCAGATGATTCAATGGCTCCTTGGAAATTTCTGCAGCACTTCGTTATGACGCCCAGAAAACTCGCGACCTTCGAATAGCTATATCAAAAACTCCAATCGGTGAAACGATCTGAAAATCGGATATGTTGTAGCTGGCAGTGTCAGCTTTCCACTGAAAGTTGAATCACTCGATTCCGTAGCTAAACGAGTGAGCTATGGCGTTTGGCGCACTGGGGGGTAATCTGCCCTAGGAGAAGTTGACAGTCCTCAGAGTCACTATGATTGAAGCTTACAAGATCAGAGGCATGATAGAAAAGGCATTGAAGCACAGTTGGAAGGTGGGGTAGGAAGGGAAGGATGAAAGGGAAGGACCCTGGAGGCCCATGGTCAAGAACATGACAAGAGTCAAAGTTTTGACTCCCCATCCTCAGGTTCAGCCAGCCTGGCAAGACAAATTTCACACTGTGCCAGGTTGGCCTCCAAACCCCAAATGCTGCAGCTGCAAGGTGGGGACAAAAGTCCCACACATGCTGGTCCCTCCTCGTTATAGGGCTCTCCAACTTTGGTGTAGCAGCTGACAAGGACTTCCAATGAGTTGTAACAAATCCATCAAACATTTCTTCGTAACTTCTTCATATGTGCTCCGATTCCAACAATTCTTGGCTCGTTGGAATGTGCTCGATGTCATGCACAATCCAAGCACATCTGTACAAGCACAAGATGAACATGCAAAGACATGCAAACCCAACAAACCATACAAACAACGTAGCACACAAAACACATGCAAACGAAATGATGCGAACAGACGACAGGATGACGTGCAAATGAATATGCACCAACAGTACGCAGCAACGCTTGCTTCCCGCTTCAACCTCACACCTACTGCAGTCTCTACACCGTACCGCTCACTACCGACTGACTACAAACCGAATACCGCACTGTTAAATTCAACCGGTTTACAGATTTATCAACAGCAGTTAGGCTGTTTACTCTTCGCCGCTGTCACATGTCGTCCCGATCTAGCTTACGCGGCCAGTCAGCTCGCTCAGTTTCTTCGCCGCCCCGAAGGAGAACATCAGCTTGATCTTCTCCGCATGCTTCAGTATTTCATTTCAACACCTGACGTCAGTTTAGTCTACAACGTCATTGGTTGCAAAACACTATATCTACACGGTTTTGTCGACGCCGATCACGCTGCTGACTCTACTAATCGACGGTCACGCACTGGATTCATCTATCGACTGGAACCTATCGGACCTATCTCTTGGAATTCGACGAAGCAGGAGCTGATTGCTCTCTCCTCTGCTGAAGCTGAGTTTATTGCTGTCTGCACAGCAACACGTGAAGGACTTTACTTACAGGAACTATTGGAAGAAGCGAAATTGACGACGACTACCCAGTTTACCTTACACTGCGACAACCAAAGTGCAATTCGCATCGCGCATCAGCCTGGCTTCGTCAACAGGACGAAACATATTTCTCTACGTTACTTTTTCGTCAAGGATGAAGTCGAGAAGGGGAGGATGCGATTGGTCTACTGTTCGACCAACGAAATGGCTGCCGACTTCCTCACAAAGAAGCTGATACGACAGAAGTTCCAGTACTGTAACAAGCTTTGCGGGATCTTCACGAAGTGACACTATCGAACTTCCAGAAATGAAGGGGAGTGTTGTGATATAATTGATACTTAGCATTTCTGTAAGTCGATCAGGTATAGTTAGTGTCGAATCCTACTGTAGAACATAAGTCCGTAGGATGACGTCAGCAAATAGCGCTCGTCATGGGACCAGTCGTTTCAGTCACGCGAACAGTCGCACCTCTTCGTTAACATCTAGGGCGCATAGCGCGATAGTGACGAACAGGTATATTAGCGAATAGGTATTTTTCCTAGAACTATAAATTCTTGTTAGACCTTTCCATTATTAACTTTGATTAGTCACAAGTTCACGTACTCAGGTTATTAAACCTTGACCTCTACATTTTACAAGACTTCCGCTGTCTTACTAGTCTACCATTCCAGTAAAGATCCTGGACCAACACTTGAGGATTTTCCAAGTGTTCGTGTTTGTAGTTTTATACTTAGTCTACTACAACACCAGACGATTTATTTCAGTACATACGGTAGGCTCGCCTTGTCATGTGCTTCACGGTACGTTCTGGGCTCAGGGCAAGCCCCGAGGCAGGGCTTCAGGGCATCAGTTGTACCTTAATCCCCTGTGTATAACACTCGATGGTGGATATTAATATTCACTAAAAAATAAGTGGGTGCAGGCCCCACGATATCAGGATTTTTACGCTTTTTACGCTTTTTTTCAGGGTGTTTGCTTGTACCGACCCTGATGAAAAAGCATTTTTTTCTGATTGAACCCTGTTGAAAAAGCTTTTTTTTTTTGCGTATAAGACGGATGTTTCAGCGTTTTTTAATTCTAGACACTGATGCATCATTGCACTAATGGGGATCGACGCTGAACCAAACAGTTTCCCCCCTGGTTGGCGCATGATCCCCTCCCCCCCAAACCTCACCTACACCATGTCGCAACAGAAACAATTTGGCGAAGTCCAACCCAGGAACATTTCTCCCCCACACCCCTCGCAACTCAGAATTGCGTCGAAGTCCCCACAGCCAGTAACATTCCTCTCACACCTCCCGCAACCCAGAAAAATCGGCTAAGTCCCCACAGCGAGAAACTCCCTCCCACACCTCCCGCAACCCCCTTTTTTTTTGGCTAAATCCCTTGCAGCCATTAAAAATCCTCCCACGAACCCCCCAACCAGCAATCCTGCTAATACCTTACTCTTGCGTAGTTGCTAAAATGGGTAACAGGGAAACCATCCCTAAGCTGACGCTTTAAAAAATGCCCCCCCCTGAGCTGCCCACTGTAAGAAATAGAGTTGAAATGATTAATTAGGAAAGGAGCCCAAGGCTCTATAAGTACATGGCAAGGTGAGAGTGAATGGATGAAGGGGGAATTGGAGGGAATCCCCATTGGGATCTCCGGAATCTCCAATTGGGTAATTGGAGATTGGGGGGATCACAATTGGGTGAGGTTGGGATTTGTGAGTACACCCCAACCCACTAGAACATTCATAACCTAAACTAGGATATAAAAGTACAAATACAAAAGTGGTATTTGCAGTCTATTTCTAACACACCCCCATAGACTGCAAACCCAGTCAAGGAGCACATAGCCCCATGGAACGGAGAAGGCGATGGTGGTCAGCCTTGCCGAGAGCCTTGGTAAAGAGGTCGGCGAGGTTGCAATCTGAGGCGATGTACCGTACGGTCAGCTGGTCACTCTGAACAAGATCTCGGATGAAGAAATGACGAAGTTCGATGTGCTTGGTGCGAGAGTGGAACACAGGCTCCTTGGTGAGGTGAATGGCACTCTGGTTGTCACACCACAGGGTGGGCGACTGCTGGGGGTAGCCTAACTCAGCGAGGAGAAAGGAGAGCCAGCGTGCCTCTTGAGCAGCCATTGTGCCCGCGTAGAGCTCGGCCTCGCAGGACGACAGGGAGACTGCAGAGGACCGAGTGGAGCACGAGCTGATGACTCCACTACCAAGGGTGAAGCAGTACCCTTGGGAGGAGCGTCTGTCAGTCTGGTCATCGGCCCATGAGGAGTCTGTGTATCCCTCGAGCTTGACTGGAGAGGTACCACCAAGAGTGAGGATGTGAGACTTGGTGGCTTGTAGATAGCGGAGGACCCTCTTGGCTGCAGACCAATGCGAGGCACTGTAGCGTCCAGGGGAGACGTACCGAGAGAGGACACTAATCGGGTAAGCCAAGTCTGGTCGAGTGCACATCATGGCATACATGAGTGAACCGACTAGCTCAGGGTACGGGTCCTTGCAGGCGTCAGGAGAAGGAACTGGAGGGGCCGTGAGCTGATGCTGTAGTGGGAGTGGAGTGGAGACAGAGTTACTGGAGTCCATGTCGAACCGCTTGAGAAGGTTGTCGATGTAGTACTCCTGGGAGAGGGTGATCGTGCAAGCCTGGCGGTCACGAGTGATCTCCATCCCCAGGTAGTTCTTGAGGTCACCAAGATCCTTCATGAGAAGGGCGGAGCTGAGAGCAGACTGGACAGCTGCCATGTTGGCTGGATCTCTGGTGGCTAGAATGAAGTCGTCGACGTAGACGAGGATGTAGAAGGGCTCGGAGGAGTGACGAACGAAGAGACTGGAATCTGAGGCAGAGGGATGGAAGTCAAGTGCGAGGAGGACTTCCTTCACCTTGTTGTGCCACTCACGGGGAGCCTGCTTGAGGCCATACACTGGGTGCTTCAGCTTCCACACTGTGTTGGCAGGGTAAGTGCCAGGAAACCCCGGTGGGCGTTCCATGTGAACAT